AAGACAGATGTTTGTTCTTTTGGCTGTCCACGGGTTGAGCAGAGGCCAGAGGAATCTTAAGTGTACAAAGCAAGGAAAGCCAGGCGTGGAATTCCTTTGCCCCTGCACTGAGAACTCCCTAGACCCAGGGGATGATCAAGGCCAAGACACAGAGAGCTCTAAGGAGCAGTGGGCCCACAGATGTGGACAGGAGACAAGGATCTTCCTCCAGAGTCCACAGAAAGAGGAAACCTTTCCTTAGAACCTGCCCATCAAATTCAGAGTTCTAGACCCCTAAATTGAGAATCAATGTCTGACTGTAACAGCCATCTACTAGTGGTATTTTTTCCCAATGGCAGGTTGCCCCACCCAGTTTACCCAACACAAGTATAATCCCCTTCTCTGAGATAGAGGTGTCCTCCTGTACCCCCTGCCGCCTCTTGAATTCCAGTAAGGCTCACTAATTATTCATATATATATATATATAAATTTTACTGGGGGCTTTTACAATCCATACATCAATTGTATCAAGCCATCTGTACATGTTGCCATCATCATTTTCAAAACATTTTCTTTCTACTTGTGCTCTTGGTAATCAGTTCTTTTTTCCCTCCTGCCCTTGATACATTATCATTTTCATATCTTACACCTTCCACTATCTCCCTTCACCCATGTTTCTGTTGTCCGTCACCTTCGGGGTGGTGGTGGTTTTATGTCGATCATTGTGATTGGTTCCTTCTCCCCCCACCTTCCCCTACCCTTTCACAGTATAGCTACTCCCATTATTGTTCCTGAGGGGCTTATCTGTCCTGGATTCCCTCTGTCAAGAGTTCTTATCTGTACCTGTGTACATGCTCCTCTAGCCGTGTTTGTAAGGTAGAACTGGGGTCATGATGGTGAGAAATGTGTTCTGTCAGTGCTATACTGCACCCTGGCTGGCTTATCCCTTCCTTGTCACCATTCTTAAAGGAGTGTCTGATGATTTGGAGTGACTGCAGAACAATGTTATATGGCTGATAAGAAACTGACCCCAGTTGAGGTGAAGCCTCCTTGTCACAGGGGTTTCTAGGATGTACAGCTAAGGTGGTGCTACATGGTTCATGAGCACCAAGCAGGCATCCTCCCTCACTGCTTAGAACGGAGTAGACTAGATGACCCGGGCAGAAGCCTGCTTTTGTCTTGGTGTTTAGCCTTACAGTAGTGGTCTTATACAGTATCTGTCCCTTTGTGATTGACTAACTTGATTCAGCACGATTTCCAGGTCCATCTATGTTATGCTTCATGGTTTCATTGCTGGGTTTTAGGGATGCATATGATTCCACTGTGTGTATACACCAGTTTCTTTATCCATTCTTCCACGGATGGGCATCTGGGCTGTTTCCTGATTCTTACTATCGTGCACTGTGTTGCAGTGAGCATGGGCGAGTTCTGGATCTAAGTCTGTTAGTGTTCTGGCTCTTAGTTCTTTGGGGGTATGCTGGGTCTTACGGGCGTCTGATTCCCAGTTGTTTTTGGTAGCACCATCGTGCTTTCCATAGTGGTTTTACATGTTTACAAGCCCACCAGCAGCGTATTAAGACAAATGTATCTTTTTTATGTGTGCCTCATGTGGGAAACAAGCTTTTCAGAAATCCTTGGACTATACAGAGGATCCCTGGCAGGGAATGATCTACTCACATAATTTTGCAATTAATCCTATTGCTCCACAGATCCCAGCCAAATTATCGTGGCTTGCTTTAATCTTGAGTGGCACAAGCAATCTATGGATCACTGTTGTGTAGAGTTGACCTGTGAATAGGATGGGCTTATAAATGGGCAGACTAATAAAAATCTCTTCAAGTCTGCTATAATGATTCTGTGACATTGATTAATGAATTTTAAAAATATGTCTATATATATGTGTGTGTGTGTTGCTTGAACATTTAAGCCTGTAATCTCTAGACTCTAAAGAAACACACACCATGTGCTTCTATATAATTTTTACAGTTTAATTTTAAAATGACAGTAACAAATGCTTTTCCCTGGTTGGGGAATGACATCTATTCTCAGTGGGTGGGGTCTGAAAAAGTAACAGCGTTTTGTCAAAAAATTGCATAAAAGTCATACAAAGCATGTGCATATGTTTGCCAGCTCATGCAAGAGCTAACAAAGGGTGCACGTTCTAAGATCCTTGTGAAGCACAGCCCCAGACATCTCGATTTCCACAATCCCATTGCTCCCCTAAAGTTCAACAGTGATGCTGCTGCGGAGATGAGAGGGAGGAGTAACAGGAGAATCGGGTGGTTTCTGACAATGTGCTCTGAAGTTAGGGATAAAGGTGTATCTTCCCTCTCACCCTCCAGGGGCAGCATTCCTAAGACCCATCCAGGCGGGGTCCTTTCTGTGCCACCTCACTTAGCTTCTAATACGCGCACACACATGCACACGCACACATTGTACATCGCCATGCACTTAGTTGAGGGATGGCAGGGAAGGCTTAACTGCAACCCCACCCTGTTCCTGGGCGTGGTGTTCTGCACGGAGACTCGAGGCCACGCTGGTTGTGCTGTTTGTGGCCTGCCATGGCAGGGAAGAGGGAGCAGCGCTCATGCTTCTGCGGTGTGAGCTCTGTATTACTGAAAGAGCTGGAGGGCGTTGCCTATGCTTCTCTCAGAGCTCAGTGTGCCTCCTGCAGTGCTATCCCCGCATTTTGCCCTGCGGATTGTGTCATGGCATGGAGTTGCGCATCGGGAAGGAATGTCGATGGCTCGGATGGTTCCTTCTGAGCCTGTGAAAGTGCAGGGAATGTCCTGTTCTGAGAGAGGACACACAGTCAGAAGCACCTGCCGGGCTTGGACACTCACTCCGGGGAAGAGGAGGGCTCTGCCCTCACTGTGTCTCTGGTTGTGCAGTCAATCCAAGACACCGTCCCAGTGATCTTGTGAGGGGAAACAGCAATTCATGAAGCAAATACAGGGAGACATGCGGCGAGGCCACCCAGATTCGCCTCCTCTGCTATCGCAGGACTGGTCCTGACCCGACTGCATCGCTGCTTCAATTTTAATTCAGAGGGAAAAGACTCCAGAGGTACCACTCGTAGGATTTTTAGAAAAATGAAGGATTACATCGAGAGCGAGGTATCTAGGGAGCTTCCAAAAGTGGGGGGAAAAGTCCATGATCTTTTCATTCCATTTTCCCATGACCTTTTGGGAGCCCCCTTTGTACATATGGAGTAGGTATTATACTTAGCCCTGGTATGTCTGTGGGGTGGCTAGGAGATCCCTGCATACTATCTATCGGTTCTGCAAATCCCAAATGCATCCCACAGTGCCCAGGACACTGCTGTGGGGAGCTCATTCTGTTATCTCTGGATGGTCCTGAGAGTCTGATTGCAATGCTCAGGTGCCTTTGTTAGCCTGGAATTCAAAAGCTCCGATCCCTGCTCCACGGTAACATTCCAACCACTATAGGCAGTATCCATCAGGACAAGTGGGATGGGATCCCTCACCAGAAGAAACCCATTTCCTGTCCAAGTAGGCGGCTAGACATGAAAGTCACCTAGGTTTTCAGAGAGAATGTTGAAGATCACAAAAAATGAAAAGTACATTCTTTAGTCCAGGGTCAGAAATGAAGAAAAGAAACACAACTCAAGGGGCCACAGAGACCTAGGGAGTAAGGTAACAAGAGTGACAAGCCAGAGCTGTGGATTTACTTCGCTGTCTCTTCTTGGAAAGGTGGAGAGGCCTGAGGAGTTGGAGGGCGGTGGGGAGGGAAGGCAGGCGCTGAGAGGGCCAGCTGAGCAGCATCCGTTCCTGCAGCTGCTGAGATAAGGTTACGGAAGTCAGGCCTTGCGGAAGAGCGCTGTGAGGATGACAGTATCACTTTAAGATACTTGAGTGTCTGCTTTTGGAAACTACCTTGAATTTTCCTGATCCAACAAACTTGTAGTCCTGCAGAGTGCTTGTCTATTATAAATAACACAAAACAAAGAAAGAAAATCCTTACTCTTATTATTCACCAGGTTTTCTGATCTTGGGCTCTAGTCCAGGTTTAGAGAGGTGGGCACTCTGGTTCTGAAGACTCCCCCTCTGAAGGGAGCCCGAGTGAATATCTGCAGTGGTCCAGCCCTACTCACCATGCAAGCGGACTTGCTATATAACTGTACCCAATGGCAGGTTTAGTGGATTCTGACTCCCTGCCCAGCCGGTGCTACCTCCGGGGGAAAGTGAGGTTCACAAGACGCTTCCAGGTACTGGGAGGATTCCGCAGTCTGTTCTTGTTGACACTACAGGAAATCACGAAGTGATTTCAGGAGTATGGCTCTGAAAACTGGGAACCAGGGTCAGGAGGAGGAGCTTCCCCAGGCAGGGCAGCATCTCACATGCCCACGGAGGGACAGTGTGTTAAGAACCCACAAAAGAAGAACAGATGTCTGACAGGGGTGCAACTGTAAGCCAAGGAGGACAGACAGGTGGGAGTCTGGAGCTGTAGTAGGCACAGTAAATACTTTTCCTTCTCTTCCCTTTCATTTCCAAACAGAATCCATTAATAATTTCCAGGCTCTTAAAAAAACCAAACTCACTGCCATCAAGTAAATTTTTACTCACAGTAATGTTATAGGGCAGGGTAGAACTGCCCCTATAAGTTTTAGACACTGTAACTCTTTACAGGAGTAGAAAGCCTTGTCTTTCTCCCTTAGAGCAATTGGTGGTTTTGAACTGCTGACCTTGCGGTTAGCAGCCCAGTGTATTGCTTCTATGCCACCAGGGCTCTTTACCAAATGGCTAGTGTTGCTAAAATGTGCACTGTGGCTGAGGGCAGGGGTGCAGGACAGCTGTGCTCAGGTCTGCAGAGGCTCTGGCAGACTGGCAGGTTCTGGACGACACAGGACACGGTGTGAAAGGCTTAGACAGGCTGTCCACAGTCACTGAGGGTGGCTTTTAGTGCCGGCAGAGACCCTGCCAACTGGCTCAGAGAACAAGCATCCCACCACGATCTTCCGCTGCTGGTGGACCTCAGCCAAAGTGTACAGAGGGAGGGACTTGAAGAGAATTTTTCTATTTGTACATGCAATCCAGCTCTTTCTGTGCATTTAAAAATGAAACTTGCCCAGGCCTAACTTTTCCAGAAGGAATGGTACTAAAGCCGCAGTAACAAACATGTGGGCAAAAAATTCCGGTTTCCAGACTCCCCTATTTAGAAATTGTAACATAAAACCCCACATACATGATAACTGCATGTACTCGTACAGCTGCTGCACCCCCACGTGAGGCATGTACCAGCGTATAGAGCGACACGCAGGAAGCACACAGGCATGGGCGTGGGCGGGCCCCCTCTGGGGGAACCTGAGATGAGTGAGGGCTGTCACAAGGGTCAGGAGGTCCTGCTGCATATCTGTTCGATGTCACTCATCTCTTTGGGACAATCTGCAGACAGGATGAGGGGCGAGTCCTCAGTCACCACCACATCATCCTCAATCCGTACCCCAAGACCACGAAACCTCTCAGGGGCGTCTCTGTCATCCTCTGGAATGTAAATGCCTGGGAAACAGAGAAAAGGACGTTAACCTCTCCATGTCCCGTTCCTTCAGCTGCCAAAGGCAAATGCCCACACCACACCGATCACCACTGAGACAACTGCGAGACTCGCAGGGCCTTACAGGACAGCATCGGACTGCGCCCTAGGGTTTCTGAGGCTGTGAGTCTTCACAGGAGCGGACAGTCTCACCGTTCTCCTGCACGGCGATGGAGATTCAAACCACTGGCTTTGTGGTTAGCAGCCCAACGTGTAGTCCATATGCCACAAGGCCTCCTCCTTCATCCGTAAAAGTGGCATATGAATGGGAGCTACTCAGTCGAGCTGTGAGGATCCACTGAGGTACGCAATGGCCAATGAATGTTGACTACCATGTTAGCATTATTATAACTACTGTATGTGTTAAGACTACAGGCTCCACACAACTATGACAACATGGATCTGGATTCTGCCACATGCTAGTGGCTCAAAGCAGGCCATCAAAATTATTTAGCTTGCATATAACTTTGACATAAAATTATTCAATGTACATGTTGGGCTTTAACCAAAAGTTGGCGGTTTGAGGCATCTTTCCTCTGTCCAGTAGGTAGTCCCCTCTGGATAAAGGGTAGGTGTGAAAATACAGATATATGATACTTTAAGACACATTGAACATTTCATCAGAGATGATCAGCCTACCAGAATTTGAAGAAATAGTAGGGGGAACATTTTTCTCAAAGGAGCTGTCAAGGTACATGTGTGACACAAAGTAGGAGAAATAGGGACCCTGCAGTGAACATGTAGACAAACCCGAGTCTGAGGTCGCCTTTCTGATCACGCGGTCTTTTTTTCTTTTTTGAAATTTCCTGTCGTTTTTTTAAAATCATTTTATTAGGGCCTCATACAACTCTTATCACAATCCATACATACATCAATTGTGTAAAGTGCATTTGTACATTCATTGCCCTCATAATTCCCAAAACATTTCCTCTCCACTTAA